ATGTTGACCCTGTGCTAACTTGCATATGACAAATAAAACTGAAAACTTAACGTCCCAAATCATCTCATGATACCTGAAAATCAGACACTGAATCTGTGCATGCGTTGCTCGCTGAGGTTACCTGGTTGGTTTGCATTACTGTGGCACACTCCAGAGCAGTGCTGGACTACGGTGAAGAGGTGCAGTCCTCGTTCTTGGATTAGATTAAGGGTGGTCTCACATTTATACAAAATCTACAGGGGCGACAATTATAATGAGCTCTTCTAATACAGCTGCTTATAGAGCTGGCTCTGCTGTGACCAGTCAAGCTCTAGAGGGGCTGTCAGCAGATAGCAGCCTGTCCACAAAACATTACACTACAGATATTAAAGAAAACTGTTGTTCCAACTTTCTGCAAAGTCACACTGCCCCACCACACCTGAGCTACACGCCAAAGCCTACTCTGACGTCTGCCCAATAAACTCTGTTAACTGTCGTGTTTTACTACTTTCAGCCACCTACTTTTATCATGTTTCACTTGCTCAATTTGACATATTTCACTATATTATACTTAACTACTACTTAATAGCTTTAGTTAAAAACATACGTCTTGTATTTTGTCGTGTTTATTTTGATTTCAAAGCAGTTTAACCTCAAGCTATGACAATTATCGAGTTTTTAAACTCCACTCGGGTTTTTAAACGTATGCGACTCGTACAAACTGTGCGTATGGTGGCTTCGTGACGATAAAATCCCCGAAACGTTTTGCTGTAATGTTTACTGTATACAAACATAAATATATAAAAAACAGACCATATTTTAAAGTTGGGCATTTTCCCAGGTGTTTCAGCTCTTTACATCTACGTTAACGTTAGCAGCCTTACGTGAAGCAACGGAGACGCGTTTACAAAGAATAAAGCGAAACATGTCGGAGATAAACACAACTTTACCTTCAGAGTGTAGACTCTGTCCCCGTTTTCATTCAGGTAATACTGCAGAAACATTCCGACCGACTGGTTTGTTTTTACACTTCAGGGGTTCAAAATATATATATACGGAGCTGTTTATATCGAAAACAACTCAAAAATTGCTGTAATGCGCTCTTTTTCCCTTAGATTTCCACGTGCAGCGGACGTTGGTTCGCTCTAGGACGGAAGAGCGGATATCCGGTTCAGCACTTAGAGCATTCTGGGAAACGAAGTCTCACTAGCTTTTTCTACCCTCTGCATTCCGTTTGAATCTCAAATGATACCCTGGAGACAAGATCCGAACTCTGTTGCCATTAACGCGATCGCTTATTATTGTCACGTGTCCCAATTTTAAAAAATAAAATAAAATAAAATAACATAAGATAAAAATATTTTGAAATTGTATGTTAACTGCTTTTTAAACCTGAAGTTTCTTGCATAATTAGCTTTTTTTCATTAATGATTATGTTGTACTCCTTCATAAAACATTACAGCTCTTTGTATCTGCAATCAAAAAGAGACAAATAAATAAATAAACAAAACAATGAGCCCACATGTCATAAAAAGTTACAATGCATAAAAGCTGTACTATAAATAAAGTAATTTGTGTGTGTGTGTATGTGTGGGGTGAGGGAGGGGGGTGGTGGAATTCTTGTGCATGACTGTGGGTGAAATATGGAATGTTTACGTACAAAAATTTGCCTTCATTTGGTTTCTTTTGAATTTTGGTCTGAGCAGAGTGTGCACCTACTACAGCATCCAAGAGGAGATTAGTTTATCGTCACTAACAAAGGTAAGGCAACCGAGAAATGCTATTAACTACAGTGTGCACTGTTTCTGTCGTGTGCATGCAACGCTGAAAGGCTGTCTTGTGTTTGCAAACACCACTGTGTGGATATCTTTCACTGAGCACTGATTGTTTTCATAAAGGTTGTCATAACTGCTCATATTAAGCCACTGTGTTGAAATTAGAGGTGACTCTGTACCACCAGTTCAGCTAATCCAGTCTTAAGCATCTAAACTCCCTCACCTAAACACTAAGTTAATAATAAAAACTTATCTGCATGCACTGAGCACGGCTAAGTAATGTTGTTGTCTAACAGTCACACAGTTAGAGTATACTCTGCTAGAGCACACAGCCCACAGCGTCACTGTTTTTATTCTTACTACGGTCTTTTCAAAGGCAGATCCCTCTTCTAAGCTTCTCAGGCTCGGCTTGTTTGTCGTTTCTGACATATGTCCACGTAGGTGACACGGTCACAGCTCGTCGTGTTATTAATGACATATTTGTTTTTATGCCAAAGCATTTACATGTTAGTTAATGTGGAGCTGTCCATACGTGGAGTTCCAAAGCACCTGTTTGCAAGAGTGAAAGCTGGCTTTAAGATAAGACACGAACCTTTGGGCAGAAGAGGCAACATTTTTATAATCTTCAGTTTTCTAATTTTGGGAATTGTGTATAAATTAGAGCCTTAGTTTCCTGTTCTTGGCTGCCAGCAGTGACACCGGATGTGGTCTTCTGCTTCTGTGCATTCAGATATGCTTTTCTGCTTACCTTGTGTGCACCTACAAGTGTTTATTTGAGTTACTGATGCCTTCTTATCAGCTCCAACCAGTCCGCCCATCATGCTTTGACCTCTGACATCTAAAAGAATGTAACACAGAATGGTCTTTCTTGATTCTCATCCATCCTTTAACTGTTAAAATCAATATGAATCGCCCTATTATCTCTGACAGTAAAGAAGCAAACACACAGAACCAGAATGGATCCAGCTTGGTTGTTTCCATTGTCCCTGCAACATCCCAACCCCCACCAACACCTTCAGCAGCAACACTGGCAGCACCTTCAGCAACAGCAGCTCTCTCCTGTGAGCTCAGCTGCAAGGGTAATTCCATTTGTCCCCAAAACAAGAGCTACAGAAAGGCAAACAAATAGAGTAGACTGGCATCCAGGAAAGGAGCAGCATGCTGTGCAGCATCTCCCAGCCCAGGTGGACTCCTTCCAAATCCTCCTGCCAGCTGTCTACCCGCCTCCGCTCCACCTCCAGCCTTTATCGCCTGGCGAGCCCCTGTATAGGCCCTACTCTTCTCAACAGTCCTACTGGCTGCCCGTGCCCACCTACAGTTACAAGGCCCAGCCCTACATACAGCTGCCCTTCAGCTCCTTGCCAGAGGTCAGGTCCAGCCCCGGGCACCTCCCACCAATTCTGTGTCCACAGATCGTGCTGCTCCCTCAGACTCACTGTGCAGACCAGTAAGGGCTCTATTACTGCACATGTTACAGTAACTACTTCTGGATATGTCTTGATTGTGTCTGACCCCACCATTTGTGCCACAGGGTCTACATAAGTTCGCCCGCAGAGGTGACAACAGCATCACAGTGCACAGAGGTGCATGCAGGGTCAGGAGGTCAGGGGTCAATGAGCTGTGCAAAAGGTACCTGAACAGCTAAGCTGACCACCAGCTGAAAAAAAAAATCAAATATGATTGAAATTTAATTAGACTTTTAGCAGAGTAGTGAGAAATAAAAGCTAATAGTTCATGTCCCGTTTTTACTATGTCTGTCTTCACTAACAGAGGACCAGAAGAACAATCCACACAAAGGCAACCCAGGCAATGAAGCCGACCCAGGCAATGAAGCCGACCCAGGCAATGAAGCCGACCCAGGCAATGAAGCCAACCCAGGCAATGAAGCCAACCCAGGCAATGAAGCCAACCCAGGCAATGACGCCGACCCAGGCAATGAAGCCAACCCAGGCAATGAAAGCAACCCAGGCAATGACGCCAACCCAGGCAATGAAACTCCCAAAGAAAACATCCCAGCCAGTCTTACAGAGGACTGTGATTTTCCCAGACCTACAGCCTCTTTAGATGAGGAAGCAGTGAACAAACATTCAATTGAGGAATGTTTTAGTCTCCTAGAGCCCTTCTTTGACCAGGTGAGCAGTTGTATTGAAACTGTAAACAGCCTTTTTCAACCAAGTCATCCACAAGCAGAAAAAATAAATTTTGTAAGCTGTGTTTGTGTATAGATATTTTACCCTTCGTCTGTTCCAGCTGCTTCCCACTCAGGCTGAAGACCCCAGGGAGGAGGAGCATGGAGAGGCTGGGTACCTGAACATGGAAAACAGTTCCTTCCTGGAGTATATGGATGAGCTGTGCAGAGACGAGGAGTTTGTCAGTAAGGTAAACTGTCCATGCATAACCCTTTCATTATATTTAGAGCAGGAAGACAGCATCACACCAATAAATTATGTAAAGTGTTATATATTTGTTGCCGTTAGCAGCTGTTAAGAAAAAGCTGATGGGGACCTGTGGTTTGAATTACTTGTAATAGCCAGCAGGGGGCGATGCCTCTGTTTGTAAACATTAAATCTTGCCAACTAGTTGGTGAATACAGATTTTTACCTAGAGTCCAGTTTTTGCCTGGATGACCCTGAAGGCCCTTTCACATTGGACGCAGCTTACTCTGCACTCACCGCTAGCTAAAGCAAAGGACACAAAATTTGTGTCCAGCTGACCACTACGCTCTGCTTGTACTAGATGTGCATGATTGTATTTCTCTAACTTTGTATCCTCTACAAGAGTTTGTTTTGCATTATGTTCACATGTTTAATAAAAACACGTTTCACTCATAAAAAAGCTTTGTAACTATACTTGCAGCACATTTTGCTCACAGCACTTCCTGAGTATCAGCCCTTTTTATGATGTTTTGTTGTTCAAACTGTTGCCTTTGCTCTTTGTGCCAGGTGGAGTCCACGGTGAATATCGAAGCCCTCATGACTCCCCTCTCTGCCAGCCAGGACCTTTTTGAAGAACAAGAGCAAGAGGTAGCATCCTTTAAATACTGATACAGTACAGTAACAATAATTAAAAAACAAAAACATAAACATTTATTGAAAATGAATGTTTAGGCGATATTTTGTTTTTTCTCTTGCTCTACAGATGATCCTGCAGGAGGAGCTGCCTCCATGTCCTGCAAACAGCGATCATTTCTACGGAGAAACACCTTCGGTATCTTCACAGTCACTCTTTTTGGACGCTCCAGGCTCCCTCTTTGCAAGTAGCCCCAATAGAAACAGTCAAAATTCTTCCCAGAATGAAGTTGGGATCAGCTGCTCCCCCCTCCTGCTTTCAAACCTTTTAGAAGAACCGCCTTCACCCAACCACAACCCTCTGGATGCCTCCGATGCTTTTTCTCAAGATGACTGTTTTGCATCGATCCTGCACTTGTTTCCCGACCAGGATTTTAGAAGTGACGACACACTGAATTCCATATTGTCCTTCTTGGACAGGAAGACCACAGCTCCACCTGCTCAATCCTCCTCCCCTCCCTCTGATTCAGCCAGCCACTCTGGCTCCGCCACTTTAAAAGTTAAATGCAACTTCTCACACTTTGAAAAGACCCAAGAACTCAACAACCCCAGAGGAGGAGAAACAAAGAGTAACAAGAAGCAGCCAGGCATGAATGGTGGAGAGAAAAGTGTGACTACAAAAACTCTCGATCAGGAGGTTCAGGCGAGTGAGGAGAACCAGACCAAACCCAAGACCAACATTCTTGAAGCGCTTGCTGAGGTCCTTAAAAGAACACGTGGAACAGAGAAAGACAAGGAGAAGAAAAAACTGCAGAAAAAACAAGGAACGCAGTCATTTAAGAGAAAGCGGAGCCGGGAAACAAAACTAATGAGCACTGCAGAGCAGTTTTTGGAGCCGACAAAGAAGAAACAGCTCAAGAGTCCCAACGTGGAGGACGGGATGCATGGTGAGCTCACTTTTACTGTCAGACATGAGGACAATGCAAGAGCATCTGGATCGCTCCCAAACACGTGCCCTGAAAGCACAAACACCTTTGAAGGGATTTTTTGCGACACAATGCCCCAAGTTCAAAAATCACCCGCGTCAAACAACCAAGCCAGTCCAGACCTCACGGTGAGCCCAGCGAAGAAACACACTCAGGGATGGCAGGCCGGTGGGAAGAGGGGACGCTCGGGAGAAAACGCAGGGACGGCAATGGAGCAACTGGAGCAGAGTCCCACAAAAAAAAGCAGGAAAGCCAAAAGAAGCTAGGTTTGAAAGAAAAATAAACGAGTAAGAGAAAAATGATGTTCATTTGTGACAAACCCCTCAGGACACTTAACGTCCATTTCCTGCTGCAGTTTGATCTGTTACAGGCGCTTTAGGCGGGAAAACAAACAAGGTTTTGTAAATGAATTCACAGTTTATTTGTCAAATGTAAACACGGTTCATTCACACAGAATAAATCTTCCAGAGTATACTTTGTTTTTGCACATGCATTTATCATTATTACTATCATCATCATCATCATCATC